ATGAACTATATAGTAACATTCTTCATGCTGCAATTGCAACTTATTCAGGAGTCATGAAATCCAATTTGGTGAACGCAGCCCACACTATTTTAAAAATAGACTGTTGCTGTTGCTGTTTCTGTTGTTTGCCGTCTAGGACAGAATATATCAGAGTATGTCATCCATATTTTAGGTAAAAATTGTTTTATGATATTTCTATTGCAAAATGTATTTCTCATCTCGGGTCCTAGCTAAAAAAGTTTGAAAGTCATCATTCCAGATGATGATCTGAAGGTCCATTTTAGGTCTGACCTTCTAGCATTCTAACCTGCTTTTATCATAAGATGCTAGTGTCTACTTAGCAGCCAAACATGCTACATGCAGGATAACCAAACCCAACTCACTGTCATCTAGTCAATTCCAACTCATAGTGAGACCCATTAGGTTTCCAAGACTGTAAATCTTTACAGAAGCACACTGCCTCATTTTCCTTCCATGGAGTAGCTGGTGGATTCAAACCATCAACCTGTTGGTTAGCAGCCAAATGCCTTAACCACGGCAATACCAGAGCTCCTTATATGCAGGTTAGAGACAGAGGACGGTCACTCATGCCAGATCTCCACAAACTAATCCCACTTATGCCTAGGATGGCTGGAGACAATGTGGCAGGTAAAACCACCAGCAGAGAGCCTAGCGTACAGTAATGGCCCCAAAAAAGACAGTTATTGTTCCCATCATCATGATCATGATCCTTATGCAGATCACAGTCCTGCAAAGGAGGAATGCAAAATGAAAGCAAAAGATCTCATTCTCACTGGTGAAGAGAAAATGTTGACGGAGTACTTATTTTCACCCGTGACTTACTTTGGGAGGTTTCTTAGAACTGCTGACCAAGCCTTTGCCAGGTAAATCCTTCATGCTTCTGAGTCCTAAAAAATGAGAGTTTCCCAAAATGAAAAAGATACAACAGACTTTTAAGAAGATAAGGTTAGTGCTACGAGAAAAAACCCTTCTGCTTATCCTTGTCCTTGTCCTCTACTTGGGCTTCATAGTTACCAAATAATGAAGGGTCTCACCATCTCTTAGTTGGTTGGTTGGTTGGTTGGTTGGTTGGTTATCCTGGAATGGCTCCTAGACCGACACTGCACACTACAAACACTTTAGAACTGTTTATAGCATCAAATTGGATTCGTAGCCTATGTCGCTCTCTGTAGCCAGGGATAGCTGCATCACCATCAATAAAAGTTTATTACGTACTTTACATGTAGATGTTCAAAAACATGTTAAATGACTGAATAAATAAATGTATGCTGCAAAGACATGGAAGATAAAGACCTGACTCCTTAGCCTAGTTTATAAAATCCCTTGTCATTTGGGTCTCTGATTTCTACTCCAGTTCCCCAGCCTCATCCCTGACCACTCTCCCTTTCCTACTCTATACCCCAGACACACTGAACTATGTTCCTGACATCTGAATAGTTTTCTCTGGTCTCCAGGCCTTTGCACATGGTATTCCTATAGCCTGGAATCATCTTCCTGCCATACTTCCTACCTGTAACTCCCACTTCACTAGGCTCCTTAAACTTCAGGTCTAGGCACAGATGCTACCTCTACAGAAGATAATCCTACCTGTATGCTTCCACACACCCAGGGCACACTTCTCTCACACCACAGGTCACACTGACTGGTCCCTGCCAACTTAACTCTCAGCCTCCCCAAACAGACGAAAAGCCCCTTAAGAATAAAAACTGTATATTGTTTACTGTGACATCCCCAGTGCCTAGCACAGTGGCTCCAAGTAAGATATATTCATAAATTGAATGAGTGACTAAATGAATGAATCCATGGTCCCTGCCTTCAAAGGGCTTCACATCCATTTGGGCAAACAGGACATAGGCACAAACACATCAATAAACATGTTGAGGACAACAAATGCTGGAGTAGTTTAGAAGAGACAGCACCCCGGGCTAGTGGCAAATGATGAAACTCAACTTTGACAGAGGAGGAAGACATATTAATTTATTCAGCAAATACTTCTTAAGCTCCCACTACATGCCATGCACTATTAAAGGCACAGGAGATAAAGACATGAACAGGACAGACATGGTCCCTGTCTTGAGGAACTTACATTCGTTCCAATGAGGGTAGATAAAAAAGCAAACAAATCAACAAAGTCATTTCAGGTCATAAGAACTGAATAAAATAAAGCAAGGTTAAATGCCAGTGAGGATATAGGGAAACTTTCAAGGGGTGGTCAAGAAAGGTCTCTGAGAAAGCAACTTTGTTAAACCTGAATAACAAGAAG